GGTCTGTCACAGTACATTGACGTGCTGGTCTCTTACAGTGCAGCGGCCAACGCCGCAACTTTTGTTGCCCACGAGGTGGCGGTGTGCCCGGTTCTCTGACACTGACTTTGCCAATCTTCTCATTAACACAGCCGCTACTGCGGGAGCCGTCTCACATTGACATGCTAATCTGTAATCTCTAACAATACAATAGCCGCCTCTTCAGCACCGTAGTCGTGATGTATATCAGGCTCTCCAATCTTACATTTACATGCAAATTAAATCTCTACCCCCGCCCACTTACCCTTGGGTTGCACCCATCTCAAACCTAATAAACTCCTTAAAACATTTTTTTTTAAACAACGGTTTTATTTTGAAGTACACTAAAAAAGTAAATAACTCGAACGGACAACGGGAAGTGGACATCATCTTGATTACAAGATTTGACCACGACATACAGAGAAATTAAGTTTAATAACTTTTTTTCACAACTTCTTTTAACTCGCCGTCGAGAAGCACGTCAACGATGCTGCGCCTGCTCCCACATCAACGCTTGCCTGATTTAATTACTTTAGTACTTTAGTGTGTTGAACTTATTTAATTACTTTAGTAATGAATCTGCCTGAGACACGTGGCGCCTGCTTCTTGGGCCAGGCGATTCCAGAGTTTGGGGACCGCGGCGTTTTCGACCTATCCAATACATATTTAATGAATAAGCTGTCCATACTAAATGTTTATTGCTTTAAAATAGGCAATTAATTGATTGATTGATGCCGATTTTGATACAGGCACGCATTGTCACCGGATCTGAGTACGTGTGCAAAATTTTGAATTCTTTAGGCACAGGAAGTAGACGAAATTTTGATTACAAGATTCGATCACGACAAACATAGGAGTCAAGTGAAGTAAAACCGTTGAAAAACCTCTTGCTGCAGCAGCTCTCCCGCTATATTTATCCTGCCTCAGCAGTTCTCCTACTATGTTTCACCTGAGGACGATTGCTTGTGTTGCGATCGATACGTCGTGATTTTTTATTACTTTTCTATCGACGTGACTTTACCGAAAGATCCAAAGAGTATGAATTCCAGCGGTCACAAAAGCTTTAAGGCAAGATTTAGAAATATGTCGTTAAACTCGCCACCACCCGACACAGTCAATTAGTAATGTTTGTCACGTAAACAAAACATACCAATTGGTTACAATTACAGCACACCGGTGTGTTGGAGAGTAAACCCACAAGATTTATCATTCGAGTACGACGTCTCGCCGGTAATTACAACCAGCCTCATCAGGCGACAGCCAGAGTTGTGAAGAAATCAACATTTATGTTTACGCGATCTAACCCAAAAACGTCATGGATAATATTGGTCGAGAAAGCCTACATGTTAAACTATGTATATGTGTGTTGAACTTTTTTCGCAGTGTACGTAGCCAACCGTGCTCATCGGAGGTGCGGGGTAAAGACAACTAAACACAAAACGCAGTTCTAAAGAGACGAGTTTTCAATTTGGAAAATGTCAGAATCTGAATCGGAAGTTTATTTCCTGAATAAAAGCCATTGAGCTAAGAACCTCTTTTTCAAGGGTGACTCGGCCGGCAGACAACATAAACGCGTTCTACAACTATCGATTTAATAAAATAACTTAATAACAGCAATTACAGTGTCGTAAAATTACATTCACAGTGAAACTTTAGTGATTATAAACTGTTTAAATGACAGAATGGGAGATGCCAAGAGACGTTTCCTATTCGCGTCATTCGATCGCGAAGGCGCTGCCGTGTTTCGCAGACACAGTCTGCGATATCTTCTTGTTTCTTTCGGTAAAGTCACGTAGAAGGGAAACAATAAAATAATAAAAATAGAACATAATTTATTTTATTATAAAAATTAAACGATTTATTTTATTGTTTTATTTTTCTTATTTTCGTATTTCTCTTCTACGTGACTTTACCGAAAGAACCAAGAATATGGATCCCTGCAGTCACGAAAACTTTAAATCGAAATTTTACAGTCTGCGATAGTTTCACGGGAGAAGGCGATGTTGCTGCAAGAAATCGCAATTGAGTGATTGTAGATAAAGTAACCGGCACATAATGGCCTGTTACTACGGTACGCTCTCTTACAATGTGCATGAACTGTACGTAGCACGCTGTGCTCGCACATGAACATCAGGTGGCAGTCTCTCCATATTCCATTGCTGTCAACATAGCCTTGCCTCTCCAGACTCTTAACATCCCTGTCTCTCCATAGCCGACTCTCCTGACTTCACAGGCCTGTCTCTCCATAGCCCTGTCTCTCCATAGCCCTGTCTCTCCATAATCCATAGCCCTGTCTCGCATAGCCCTGTCTCTTCCGACTCCATAGCCGTCTCTCAATATCCCTCTACAGAATCCATAGCCCTGTCTCTACATAACACTGTCTCGATTTATTTTTGCAGCACTTTTGTATATTTTTAATAATGCTGCTGAAAAACAAGAGTTTAAATTCAGGTGGACGGAGCAATAGATACTGTATGTGATTTTTATGTGGAGAGATGGGCGTCTTTGTTATTTCCCAAAATCGTCTGCAATAGTGCAAACGTTATTAATTGTATACTACACGCAGAATCGTATGAAACACATTCAGCGGCTGTCTGCCATGCAAAAACCATCAGCAGTTCCTGGAGACGTGCACTGTGGTCATTTTGCCTTGGATCACCATCAAAATATGTTTTAGTAAATGTGACCGACTGACTGCAGGAGTGATTAAGTTATTTTAATGAGTGAAGGACCATTTCCGAAAACGTCGCCTGTTCAATATAACAGAATTCATGTCAAGGGAGTGTTATTACCAAATGTGTTGCGTTTGTGCTTTGTGCTTCCCCACGTGGACTTATCTGTACCCCCACTGTTTGGGGGGCATCCCCCCCCTCCCCACCAGCTACATCCCAGCCCCCTGAGCCAGTTTAGTCGCGTGCTTAATGAATACATGAAAACAAAATAAATCCTTGAACTTCCCCAGTTTGTCATTATCCCTCCCCAAAGTTTACATGCTAGCTGAGGCTCATAAACTAAAAAAAATATTTGGAGATATGAACATTTCTCTATTTTACATGACATATGTTGTGCAATACTGTAATGTCTTAACATTTAGCGTTAATTGCAAACATACGGGGGAGCTAGGCAGTGAAGTTCCATGGGAGCTACTGAACTGCCACACTTGCTTGGAAGACCACGTGAGCTCGTGGAGTATCTGGATGGCCGAGAATAGGGGCCGGGACACCGAAGGCCAGAGTGGTGACAATTTCATGGGTGAAGGAAATGTTCGTGATATATGAATATATACTGCAACTTTCTAATGTTCTCAACATCAATTATCTAGTATTGTAGTGCTAGTTAAGTCACACGGTTGCATTTCTAGTAACAGAAAGTACTCAAAATAACACATTCATTGCACTCCACATGAAATTTATTTTTTAAGTTTATCCGTACGAGATAATGCACAGGCATACAAGTTCAGAATTCATATGGTTAGCAAAACAACAAAAGCAAAACTAATGAATCACAGCAACGAAACAAATAGAAATCAGCGCAAAAACATGTCACGTGAGAAATCAAAGATATTGCACAAACAAATCGGTGTTAAATTATATTCGATTGAGTGTAAATCGGCTTGGCAGATTATATTTCGACGGATCGTAGTAAAATTGCAAATTAAGTTACAGAAGTATACTACGGATAAGGTGACTGTTCAACTGATATGTAAACAATTATTTGTCTTATGCCTTTGATTATTAAATATAGATCAGCATATGCAGCCAGCCCAGTGCAATACTGTACTGTCCCTCACCATCTCATCAAAACTACTGCCTCTTAAGACACGATGGCTACTTGTAAACTGCATACGACTACATCACGTATATACTGTACTCGGGTTGTTCAACGATAGCCGCAATTGATTACCGGTATTTGTTTAGAATGCCAGGAACAGGTAACCGATCCCACTGGAATTCTAAGTCATGAATGCACCGATTTGCACGTGCGAACGTGCCAAATGGCACTACGGCCAAAGCCACCGCGTGCCACGTTTGCCCTCGTTTCTCAGTTTATAAAAAGACAAAGGCGCAGCCCTGCGCTTGCTCGCTCACGCCACTGTTGGCAGTAGGGGCAATTTGGCCTACTCTTCAACGCTAGCCGGATGTGTTCGTAAGAGGTTGGACGTACCCACACTTTACCCCACCATACGCGACCTGCTTTTGTTTCAAATGGAATCGCACCTTCCTGCAAGCCGCGTGAGCCGTCAACTCCACTGTGTCTCATTTAAAAGGTAGTTTGTTCCGTTTCATTGATAGACATTTCTATCCTTGCGTAAAAGCGGTCACGTTACTTGATTTCATATGAATACCGGTAATGAACAAAAATAAGCGTTTAACAACCCGATAGGATATACAAGAACAGAAATACAGCATGAAAATTAAATTTCGACATTTATATGTATCCGTTTAATATAAATAACGTGCGTTTAAAGTTACATTCAATTATTATCTAGTATATTACTGTACGAGTATAGTATATACATGTGTATCGCGAACAGCACTTGCCCCAATAGTCTGTTGAAGTCTGCAGGGGGTTCTTTGTCTTGTTGTGGAACCCAATCACAACATGCAGAGCACAGTACAATCGCCACATACAGAGTTGGTGCATAAACACGTGCGGTGAGGGTTGCCACCTCTAAGGTACAAAAAACGGGGATAGATCTTGGGAAGAAGAATATCTAACAAGAGCAGCAGATAAGAATTGCATGCTCTTTGGTTCTATTCGGTAAAGTCACGTAGGTACAAAAATAAAAAAAATAAAAAATCACGACGTTTCGGCCACAACACAAGCGGCCTTCATCAGGTGAAGGGACCAGGCTGTCTCGAGGACAACGCTGGAGTCCCTTCACCTGATGAAGGCCGCTTGTGTTATGGCCGAAAGTCGTGATTTTTGTTGTTTTATTTTTTACCTACGTGACTTCACCGAATAGAACCAAAGAGTATGGATCCTTGCAGTCACGAAAGCTTCAAATCTAGAAAAGAATTGCATGATAAATGCATTGTTTTGGCCGATGGGTTATTATTAAGTAACTGACAAAAACAGGGACTTTTAATGTTGCGGGAAGACCGACAGATTTCCCAGGACAGATACAGGTACTGGGAGCTCCGAGAAAGGTGGCAACCGTATGTGGGACGCAAGAGTGAGTCGTGTGAGATGTGGCTTGCCAATGATCACAGACAATTCGGCAAACGCAGCCCTCACTCACCCGCTGCGTTTACTGGCAGGCCATATGAATTACGTGAAATTTCTCAGAATAATGTACCAAATATAAATGAATGTCTTCATACCACCATGACTGCATAATAAACACATTATCTCGGTCGTCTAAGCTTGTTCAGAAGCTGATGTCGTCGAGCATTCATACATACTTTAAATATTAAAACAAGAATGAACAACAATAAATTACAGCTGCACTACTCTCATCCACAACTTTCATTTCCTTGATTTTTTAACGCGGGGTTGAGCCAGTTACATTTTAATCCTCTTATCCGTGTATTGGGGGTAGTGATTTACTTTTAATGTTTTTAAAAATACGAGAAGCCGAGTCGAAATTGCATCCAATTTTGTCTGAGTTTCCCACAAATAAAAGCATAGAGGTTAGTATCGAGACTCACTGTGAGTAAGGTGTGTGCACTGCCACAAGTACACACACACTGATCTTGTAAATGTTATGTTTGTGTAAGAGTTAACTTGATGATAAGGAGCCTAATCGGCATTTCATTGCGCAATATTTAATGGTTTGCAACTATTATGCGGATGTGTTGCATGCACTAGCATTTTATTAATTATTTGTGATGTATTCGACTGCCGATTTCAATGGATAAGAAAAGCTGAGTGGAAAATTCAACCGATTATTCACAAGTGTGTGGAAAATGAATCATGTAAAACGAGAATTTTACTACAGATAACGGAATGGAAATTCTGCTGAGCTGAATGTACCCACAGTTTATCGAGCTATACTGTAGATGAATTTTATTAGCTCTATATACATAATATAATTTCAGAATTTAAACTATTCTCCATTATGAAGAATTATGTTTTTGACGTCATTCCACGTCATATGACAATATGTACTGATACGTCATAGATCTTGAGCTCAACATCGCCATCACTTTGACTGTTGATTTAGCACCTCCGGTAGTGATTTCTCCGTGCCACATTTCACTTTGTTCACTGGAGCCTTGTTCAAGGACTACCCGAGAGCTACCGCCTCCTGATGTCTCAACCACCACCTTGACAGCAGTCGGGACACTCACAGCAAACTGCACCTTGCGGTCTGGTGGCAGCACACCAGCCAGGGGCTCAATCAGCACACATCCCAGATCACTCCAATTACTGTAAGTTTGAGGAAATGGTGGCCAAGAAAATGCCTTCATTTGTGCGGAGCACACAATCACATAATCACAGAGAAATTTAAAGCTCTGGGCTTCGGGTGATGAATTTTCAAAAATCTGCAATTGGTAGTTTCCAGGCTCAGGGAGGCGAATGACTAGCGATATCTCATTTGGAGTGTTTCTGAGAATTACATGATTATCGCACTTCTTTGCTGATTTATCGATTAGGCTGGCCGTGAAATTTACACACTGATTGGCAGACTTTTGAAAAGCAACTTCACATCTTCCATCAGGTGTGTAAATAATTGGAGACGGCTGACTGGGGGAATGCAGGCCCAATGCCTCAGTCTTTAACCCAGGCCCACAATGATGACTCAATTGCAGCATTTCTACAGGGTTAATGCCAGGCTTTTCACAGTGAATCTTAAAGGAACACACCCAGTCCAAACTGGATTCACCATTTTTGTTGGCCTCTGCTGCAAATATACTCAAGTTGTAATCACCTGGCTGAGGTGGGAAAATGTGCAGCTTCATGCTATCTCTCTGAATGCTCATAAGACCATGTGATTTACTAAGTTTAGTGCTTTCACTTTTTGTTTCTACTTTAGTTAGCGTGTAGGAGTATTCCAGTGGAGCCTTGCTGTTTTCAAGCATCACCTCAGCCACTCCATTCACTGCAAAGGAAAAACCAAAAAAAGCAATGTAAATACATTTATACTCAAGGTATAATATATTTTTGTCAAATTCATCAAGGCATATATTACAACTCCAATATAGGACGAACATATTTGCAACAGCAACAAAATATTGCAGTACATTTCAGGATAAACACTGTAAAATAGAGGTTTGAATCTATGCATTGAATTATTAGGAAGCCACTGGAGCTATGCACTAATTTCTTTAGAATGGATTATTGTAGGAATAGGTTTTACTCTTTTAACTGGCACAAAAACTGACACCTTTATTCAAGGCATCATGTTTGCAATAACCACAACACAAGCAGTCAAAATGCAAACAAAAAAGACAACTGTGATAATAATATGCACTGTCCTTGAATTTGATTGGTCCACACCCGAGACGGCTTTTCTTAGAGCCTAGTCTCCATTGGTGTTGAATCAGAAGACGCCAAAAGGCATACAACTAAAAAACAGCGCACTATCAGAGTATTGAGGGCTCGGGGTGAGCATTTACATTATGAGACCTCCTTTGCCAGTAACAAGATATAGGAATAGGTTTTACCCTTTTAACTGGCACAAAAACTGACACCTTTATTCAAGGCATCATGTTTGGAATAACCACAACACAAGCAGTGAAAATGCAAACAAAAAAGACAACTCTGATAATAATATGCACTGTCCTTGAATTTGATTGGTCCACACTCGAGACGGCTTTTCTTAGAGCCTCGTCTCCATTGATATTAAACCAAAAGACGCCAAAAGGCATATAACTCAAAAACAGCACACTATCAGAGTATTGAGGGCTCGGGGTGAGCTGGCAAAGGAGGTCTCATAATGTAAATGCTCACCCCGAGCCCTCAATACTCTGATAGTGTGCTGTTTTTGAGTTGTACGCCTTTTGGCGTCTTCTGGTCCAACACCAATGGAGACTAGGCTCTAAGAAAAGCTGTCTCGGGTGTGGACCAATCAAATTCAAGGACAGTGCATATTATTATCAGAGTTGTCTTTTTTTTTTGCATTTTGACTGCTTGTGTTGTGGTTATTGCAAACATGATGTCTTGAATAAAGGTGTCAGTTTTTGTGCCAGTTAAAAGGGTAAAACCTATTCCTATATCTTGTTACTGGCAAAGGAGGTATCATAATGTAAATGCTCACCCCGAGCCCTCAATACTCTGATAGTGTGCTGTTTTTGAGTTGTACGCCTTTTGGCGTCTTCTGGTCCAACACCAATGGAGACTAGGCTCTAAGAAAAGCCGTCTCGGGTGTGGACCAATCAAATTCAAGGACAGTGCATATTATTATCAGTTTGGTTCTATTGGGTAAAGTCACGTAGGTAAAAAATAACATAACAAAAATCACGACGTTTCTTCCACAACACAAGCAGCCTTCATCAGGTGAAGGGACGAGACTGTCTGGAGGACAGTGCTGGAGTGAAGGCCGCTTGTGTTGTGGCCGAAACGTCGTAATTTTTGTTATTTTATTTTTTACCTACGTGACTTTACCCAATAGAACCAAAGAGTATGGATCCTTGCAGTCACAAAAGCTTTAAATCTAGAATTATCAGAGTTGTCTTTTTTGTTTGCATTTTGACTGCTTGTGTTGTGGTTATTGCAAACATGATGCCTTGAATAAAGGTGTCAGTTTTTGTGCCAGTTAAAAGGGTAAAACCTATTCCTATATCTTGTTACTGGCAAAGGAGGTCTCTTAATGGATTTTTGTGTTTAGTTTTTTTTTCCCCCTGCACCTCCGGTTAGCACGGTTGTCCACGCATGGTGCAAAAGTAGTTCAACATATATACATATAAAGTACTCATTTCGAAGTTAATCTGCTAGCTTTATCTAATTTTAACACGAAATTAGATGGGTGTAAATTAAACCCAGTGTTAAAACATGAGGGTGATGATCTTGGGAGCAATGGACAATATATGCATTATCCTAATCCACTGCCACTTCTACAACTATTTTTTCACACATCAACTTTTAGATTAGATATTGAAAGATACCAATGAAATTGTGCCATTAGTTTGTGTCCAATGTAATTACACACCAGTGTACATTTTAAAAACACTATCTAATTTAAAGACCATTCACGATGGATATGGCTCAATATCCAGTTGTGCAAATCACTGACCTGTATTGACACTCCAATGGTCTGTCATCGCCAGCTTGAGTTCCAAATTAAAAAATCTGAAGTCCTTCAGCACCCGATACTCAAAGTCTTCTCGACTGACAAGGTGCTCCATTAGTTGCCATTTCGAAATTTTAGGCCAGTGCGATTCTACAAATTTCTTTGGGTCCGCAAGAAAGTAAAATTCATTGTACCTGCATACAGTTATAAGCATACAATCCATCAAGGAGAAAACAATCGAGTAGGTAAAATAATTATTAAGTTTATATTAGGTTGCAAAATGATTTTCAATGTAAATATATGTTTGGGGAAATGGATAAAGAGGCAACCCGAGAGGAGGTTGAAACAGCAGTGAAGCCGATTAAATTAGGCAAGGGAACATGATTACGTGATGTTTGAGTATTCACTAATGCCATGAGTCGAAATAGCACAATATAAAGCCAAGGAATCAATACAAGTTAAGATGAATTTGTGATACGGGGTGGGGTATGCAGCCGCTCAGTCAGTATTCGTGCCTCAGGGTCGCTGCCTTCGGGCAAGTGAAAATTGTGTGCGTTATAAATGATTTTCCTTTGTTTAGAAAATTAAATACACCCGGTGAGACTCATAAAACTTTCCTCATTTTCCAATGGTGACCTGGGTTACGTAAAGACAACTTTTTAAAAAGATGTGAATTAGGATAACAAACAAGGTGAATTTCACTCCAAAAGTGTAATTATATCGTTGTTGTGGTATGGATTCTTTCTTCATAGACACAATGCATTATCTATTATGTAAATTGTATGCAAATGTTCAATCAATATTATATATGTGAATGATATCTGAGCTCTTATACTCCACAGACATCAGGAAGCGATATAAAAGGTATTGTACAACAGTTTATAAACACGGTGCACTGAAATTACCATTATACATCTTCCTATGAACAAAGGATGTGTAATAGTCTTATTATCCGCCAATCCCAAGATTCCAGAGACAAATTGGGTCATGGATCAGGAAAAACTGAATTAGCAGAGCCATACATTTTCAACAAATTCTTAAAAAAGGGAGTCAATTGTTTGTGTAAAGAGCACGTGGCCGCAGACCAAGACAATCGGTGATTTCCTTGTTAAAAACAAATAGAAGCATGATAAATAAACGTTTCGTTTAAGGGTATGGCTTGCTGTTCTTGAGCCGATGGAGGGATTTCACCACGGCCTGCGTTGGCAGTGCAATAATCATAGCGAACTGAAATGTTTATTTCATACACAATCCAGGGAACGCTACTTCAGCTCCCTTAACTATCTATGCCTGTAATCCAGCACTGGAGGCGACAGTTGGTGGATCACAGAAAGGTCGCAAAACTCATCTTGTGGGCATCGAGCAGGTGCCATACCCTGGCTTTCGGCAGGTGCCATACCCTGGCTTTCGGTAAAGTCACGTAGAGTATGGATTCCTGCAGTCACGAAAGCTTCAAATCAAGATTAGTACTCAAGTGTGGACTAATCTCCATCTGTCCATCGCTATGGGACAGTGTTGCCCCCTCGTCCATGTGGGGTTTCATTGGGTGGGCCAGGTTTCTCCCTACATATAAACACATTAATTAGCTGAAAACACCTTCATTATATGTACCTCCGTGATTGTGGATTGTGCAGCGTTGTGAGATGCAGTTTGCATGGAATGTTGTGATAGAAAATTACTTTAATCATTGTGTATATACAGATCATGTTTATTAATTGCCAATGTACTCCAATGAGATTTTGAATCAAGAAAACCAGGAGTGTTGCTTGTGGTGTAATACGGCACCTGCGATTAAAGCTTTGCGTTTCATTACTGACTGCACCAGCTCCCCAGCAGGCGTCCAGTAAATACCAGCGACCACCAATGCGTACAGCGTTCCAGGCATGATTAGGGTCCTCAATTTGGAACGGTACGTGACCGAGGGTCTTGCCATATCCAACAACCTCTTCACACTCCACTCCTACATGCCTGTGTATAAACATGCGCATATGTCGACACAGAGAGAACATGCACTTATCAAGAACCGACTTGAAAACTATTTTTGATCCTGGTAAAAAAGTAGGGTCTTATTTAACTAAAAACACACATTCAATCTTCTTAAATATAAAAGTCTCCGCGCGCGCTAGCGAGGTATTTGGCTCCCGAACGGTGGGGTTTATGTCGAGAAAATTTTGACAGCCAGCACGCCCTAAGCCCCGCGGTGGGAATAAGCTATTCCCTTTTCACGTCCGTCACCTTTTAATTAGTTAAATTAGCGTTTTTTGGGGGATTTTTTAAATTAAATTATTACATTTGTTTATGCATTATTTATTTATTTCCCTTCGCCGCGCGCTGGGTCATAACGCAGCCAGCCGCACTTGCGCACAGCGCCCACGAGGTTAGCCCCAGCAGTCCACACGCGCCATCGCCCAAGGGAAGTCGCACACTTTTGCATTATATGCATTTCCATAAGACGTAAGTCCCACAAATGAGTCTTATAAGCATTTATCTCCTTACACTTTGCACTGCTCACATGGGATGCCCCTAGCAACGCACACACGATCGCCACACATTTTTATTCGCCTTACACATGCAGCAAAAACAAACAAAACACGTACATTCTTCACAGTGCGATGTCCTCTTCTCCCCACCCCGCCCCAATGATACCCCAATGTGTCCTGAAGCTACTATAGAGCCCCTACATATCATTTTTATAGCACTTACATCCCATTATTGTCGCGTGGCCGGGGGGACCAGCCCAGCCCCCAGCCTGCCAAGGTGCCACCTCGGCGGCCTAGGAAATCTAGGCGAGCCCGGAGGCTCTGCACGGGACTAAGCCTCACCACTACACTGCTTACTACTTTGTGCTATAGATTCCATATATATGGCTATACAGACAGCATGTACTACTGTAGTGCTAGCAGGTACCACCACAGTCACTATGCACTGCTGTCATCATAGCAGGTACCACCACTGTCACTTGCCCTGCTGTAATCATAGCAGCTTACACACAGTATGCACTGCTGTAGGGAAAGCAGCTACGACCACAGTATGCTCTGCTGTAATCATAGCAGGTACAACCAGAGTCAGTATACACTGCTGTAGTGAAAGCAGGTACCACCACAGTATGATCTGCTGTAATCATAACAGGTACCACCAAAGTCAGTATACACTGCTGTAGTGAAAGCAGGTACCACCACTGTATGCACTGCTGTAATCAGCTACCACCACAGTCAATATGCACTGCTGTTATAGCAGCTACCACCACAGTCAGGTACCACCACAGTATGCACTGCTGTATTAATAGCAGGTACCATCACATTTAGTATGCACTGCTGTAGTGAAAGCACGTACCACCACAGTCAGTATGCACTGCCTTTGTGATAGCAGGTTACACCACAGTCACTAGGCACTGCTGTAGTGATACCACAAACCACCACAGTCGGTTTGCACTGCTGTAGTTCAAGCAGGTATCACCACAGTCCATGTGCACTGCTGTAGTTAAAGCAGGTACCACCACAGTCGGTATGCACTGCTGTAGTGATAGTGCATACCGTCGATGTGTGTGTGCGTAAGTCCACGTGTGTATGTTAGTCAATGTGTGTGCGTGTGTAGACAACTACTCTTTTTAATATTCTTAGTTCTTTCGGTAAAGTCACGTTGAAGGGAAACCATAACACAAACGGTCATCAGGTGTGTCGGTTTGCATAAATTTATTTTTAAACGGCGTATTTATTTATTTTAAAAACGTTGGTGCCACGCGCAGCGATTTGGCAGTTTATTTAGAAGGACTAGTCCATCTATGTTCTGAAAAGAGGAGGGGGGAGACGAAAAATTTAATGTATGCTGTCTGAAAGCCACTGTAAGCGTGAACAATCAATTAAGACCTGAAATGGTTTATCAAATCTTTCCAATGATTGCTAAGCCAGAATCCATCTTCTCGGTTGAAATTGTCTCTGTGCTTGTATATGTGGATAGCCTCATGAACGAATCTCTCATGGTAGCCAGATGGCTTACAAAGAACCTCTGTCTTAGAAAAGTCAATGTCATGTGAGCCTACTGAATTATAACAATGATCTGCCACGGCCGAGGTGTTGGTCCTACCGTGTTTAAGGTCTGCTTTGTGTTCACGAATGCGGTCCGAGACATGGCGTTTGGTTTCTCCAATGTAACTACTACCACAGAGGCAACTTAGTTTGTAGACACCAGGATATTGTATGTCCAGAATCACATCTTTTACAGACGGAACCAGATCACGGATTTTATGTAATGTGTTGAAACTTGTGTTTATTCAAGATTTTGGAGATCTTTTTTGTGATCCCCGCAATGTAGGGTAAAGTGATGGTTTTGAAAGGCTCCTCAAGAGGGTCCTTCTTCATGGTTTGATTTGAAATTTTTTTCTAAGAAAAGCCGTCTCGGGTGTGGACCAATCAAATTCAAGGACAGTGCATATTATTATCAGAGTTGTCTTTTTTGTTTGCATTTTGACTGCTTGTGTTGTGGTTATTGCAAACATGATGCTTTGAATAAAGGTGTCAGTTTTTGTGCCAGTTAAAAGGGTAAAACCTATTCCTATATCTTGTTACTGGCAAAGGAGGTATCATAATGTAAATGCTCACCCCGAGCCCTCAATACTCTGATAGTGTGCTGTTTTTGAGTTGTACGCCTTTTGGCGTCTTCTGGTCCAACACCAATGGAGACTAGGCTCTAAGAAAAGCCGTCTCGGGTGTGGACCAATCAAATTCAAGGACAGTGCATATTATTATCAGAGTTGTCTTTTTTGTTTGCATTTTGACTGCTTGTGTTGTGGTTATTGCAAACATGATGCTTTGAATAAAGGTGTCAGTTTTTGTGCGAGTTAAAAGGGTAAAACCTATTCCTATATCTTGTTACTGGCAAAGGAGGTCTCATAATGTAAATGCTCAACCCGAGCCCTCAATACTCTGATAGTGTGCTGTTTTTGAGTTGTACGCCTTTTGGCGTCTTCTGGTCCAACACCAATGGAGACTAGGCTCTAAGAAAAGCCGTCTCGGGTGTGGACCAATCAAATTCAAGGACAGTGCATATTATTATCAGAGTTGTCTTTTTTGTTTGCATTTTGACTGCTTGTGTTGTGGTTATAGCAAACATGATGCCTTGAATAAAGGTGTCAGTTTTTGTGCCAGTTAAAAGGGTAAAACCTATTCCTATATCTTGTTACTGGCAAAGGAGGTCTCATAATGTAGGGGTGGGTATGTTTTCTCAGCCAACGCTGCTGCTTGTTCTCAGCGCTACAACGAATCAGCGTTATACGTGGGGTCGCCCTAAGTGGGGCCTGTCGAGCATCGTGCATTGTCCATAAATGACGTCACACACCTGGGGGGGGGGGGGGTTCAGACATTTGTGACGATGTGGGACGAGGGGGGGGGGTTTAGAAATGTTACGTTACGTAAAAATGCGCAATTTTCAATAAATATAGAATTGTTATAACAACACATTTTGATTAATTTTCATTATTAACTATTTTATTATTTAAATTTACTAAGGTCACCTTTTATTTATTCCATGAAGGAGAATTTTGCTTCTCCATGAGAGAATGGAGAAGCATAGATTTTGAACATTTTTTTAATGATTGTTATTAAACATTTTGATTCTAATGATTCTACCAGGGCTTTTCATTCTGTGGAATGAATGTGATTGTTATAATTGTACTCTCCATTTTGCTTCGTTCTACTACAAAGTTTTAAGTGTTTTTTTGTAGTTATAATTGCTTTTAATATTTTATAATTATCAGATAATTTCAATATATTCTGAACATCTGCAGTTTTAGTTAGACGTTGAATATTTGCAAGTGAATTTTATGCTAAATTTAAGCTTTCCAACGCCTTTTTAATACGTGTTTTCTCCTACAACATCAGAGTGCAGCGCCACATTAAATGCGCACTACAATGACAATAGTTTAAACCGATTTGAAGCATGTTTTATTTTCAAAATGGAAATATGGTTTTGGGGGGAGGGGGGGCAGAGCTTTGTGACGTAATATTTTAGGGGGGGTCTGACTTTTTGTGACGCCGTGTGACGAGGGGGGGGGTCAAAAATCGTCCAAAATCGCATGACGTCATTTATGGACGGCCCCTTATCTGTGTTTGTTAAGTACAGCAATAATGTTGTTTTACATGTAGTACAGTTTGAATTTTGTCATAATTGTTGTGCAGTTGAATTAATTATGAATGCAGTTGTGTAATTAAGTGATGTAATTATAACTGTAGTATAGCCATCACCGTCATCAGCCATGATCAATAGCTTTTGTGGCGTCTTTGTTTACATATGATGAACAACAGCCAGCACACTAGCTAACTCTAATTATTTTAATTATTATTGAACTCCCCCACCCCCCCAAACGCACCCTCCCCCCTTCAAGGTCCCCTCCCTCCCGCACACGCTCAACGATTAGTTACGCATGTTCTCTAATTCATGTGTTCCTCTTTCTGTCCCAGGTGCTAGGTCGATTGTTGTTACATAGCCGGACCGTCAATGGATGTTGGCAGCTTTTGAAGGCCTTTATGAAGCTGTGAATTGATCTTGGCTCGTAATCTTCTTCTTGCAAATGGCAAGTATATCTAAATTATACGTCCACGTTTAAGTGTGTGGGAGTGAAGCGACTAAAACCGTTTAGTCGCCGGAGAGTGGGCGTAGAATGTAGTTGTTTTACGATATGGTCCATTGTTTGCTTCGGGTGGCCAAAGTCTCAGTGGGTCATGTTTAATGTCCCACTTGGAAAAGAGGCGTGTGCAGCGACCAGCTGCTGTTCTCTAGTTGTTTAACGGAGCACCACAGTTTCATTGGAAGATCAAAGCCGTGCGGAACAGGGGTTGGGGTCCTTATTAATAATTGTGTTAGGAACCTCGGCAGAACTCCAGTGTTCGCCAGAATGTCTTCAGTTGATCATCGCTTCATCCAATTGTCTCACGCGATCTCAGATTGGTCTCTGGCATCATAGACGAGTTCGTGGAGGATCGAGCTGGTCTTGGTGTAATGGGAGATTTACGCTTCCTCGGAGTTTTCCCAGGTGGTTTGATGTCTCCTCATCCCGCCCGAGGTTTGCTGCCATAATATTGGCTGGAACGGAGAGCCACTCAGCCGGAGTGGATTGAGTTTTCCCGTTGTTTGAAAGACACTTTTTATCTGGGCGTCCAATTTATTTGATAGAAATTGAGCCAATTCTTTTGTAAAATGTCTTTGTGAAATTGGCTCAAAAATAGTTGTCATTTGGCCAAAAACAATACATAATCAGGCCCCTTCTTTCGTATTCCAAGAACAGTTCATATTTCACATGTTCATACAGTATTTACAACTACAATTAAATATTTTTCTGTGAACCTGATAGGGATGACAGCATCTCATTGTGTCATACCAACCTTTGTTAAAATCTTTATCTACTTTTTTTTATTGGGACAAAACGCGAGCCCGGTAGAATACGATGATCGACATTTGATGGGACTAGAAACTCTGCATTGATTACAAGTCGGCGCAACGGGACGGGACCCACGAGGTGGGGGGGGGGAGTTGGACTCGCTGCCCCAACCAAGCCACGCGTAGGGGAGCGGGGTGGGGGGTGTGACGATTTATATGGGGAGGGAGAAGGGGGGAGGGGAAAGGTAACTACCGTACGGGGAGGAGGAAGGGGGCTTTGTTAAAATCTCTAACCATGCGTTTGGATGTCTCCATGTGTCTGTGAAATTACACATCAGTAATTATAGTGGAGTGGCACATGTTTAGAATTATATTCTTGGTTCTTTCGGTAAAGTCACGTTGAAGGGAAACAATAAAATAATAAAATATCTATTTTACCGAAAGAACCAAGAATATGAATCACTGCAGTCACGAAAGCTTTAAATCAAAATTTAATGTTTAGAATTGTTTGTATCTGTGTTCGAAGATGATAGCTTCACTTACCTCTCATACCCTTGTGTGCAGGACTTGGATTACATAAGCATGATGCTCGCTACAAACTGTTCATTTGACATCACATGGTCATACACTTATTTTGCGATTGTATAACTGCATATAATTTTAACCAATGCCATTGCATAGTAATTTCCCTCGAGTTTTAAAACACATTTTAAAAAACAAATAAACATGATAGTTATGTAATGTGAACGAAAAACCTCATTCATAAATTACATTAATGATTATGCAATGTGAAATGCAGATTACAATAAATGCAATTATGAAAAATATGTAAAGTTGCTCTAAAATAACTATTGTTCACAAAATAAGTTGCATTTAGTTTTATATCAAACCTGCACATCTCATTGACGAGCCCAGCATATCCAGCACAGATAGCAGTCCGTGAGCTGAGGACGTCTTCCTTTTTGTAGTTAGACTTGTCTTTTCCAAACCAATATTTCACATCGTATTCTATGGAGACATTTATACATGACAAGCATTACTACCCGGCTTCGCCCGGGACTTGGATTCACCACGCCCGGCCGCCTTTGTCTCCCCAGTGGCGATGTTCGTATACCACACCGGTTACTTGTTCGAGGCTGAGTCGACCTAGGGGAGGCCCATGACTGGTTCAAATAATCGTCACCGGTGTTGGCCGTGAGCGGGGATCGAACTCGGGTCGCCGGGTTCGTAGCACAGCGTAGCGCTAACCACTACACCACCGCTCCCCCCACACACACGTGCGCGCGTCCATAGGTACACATACACGCGCTTACTGCAGACACACACAACTTTCAGGGTGCGTACGGCAGTAAACGACTGAAATAATAAAGCAATGGTGCGCGAAGAACGCCTTAGACCTGCAACACATTTGTATGGCACTTTACTCGCGTTGCGGAGAGTTGGGGGGTGGCGTGACATGAGCAGGCACACTGCGTTACGCTTCCACATGTGCGGGTCACATGACAGATGTGACGTCACAGCCCACTTGCCGTGCAAAAAAAATATATACAAAAGTTTATTTTTTATAATTTTTGCATGGTGTACAGTCTGGAAATTACCCACATGGCAAATTTCAAGTTTGTTGCATGTCGGGAAGTACGCTAAACATTTTGAACAGACGCACATAATCACAACTTTGCCTTTTATATATATGGAGATTATAGCATTGTGGTAATGACATTAATTTGTACTGACATAGCAAGTAAATACAACTGTTGCAAGTTAGAGTGTTATATCTCTATCTCAGTCCTGCACACATAGCATGAGAATAGCTTCATATAATTTGTATATTAAAAAATGTGTAAATGCGGTGTGTATGCTCACCGATGTTGTGGCACACCCATATCCAAATTGATCGGAGCTTCTCCAACTCAGTCTGAGTGTCTTGTGTAATCATCTCAACAATTTTTGTTGTGGAATATGATCGGGGAAAGTCCATCTGCAGGTTATAAGGGGACAAGGTTTCTTATATCGCAGAGAAGTGTGTGTTTCTTCACGAGGGAATAAAATTGGAGTAAACAGAAAATAAATTGATAGTCATAATCTTGGATCGGAATACTAACTAACCATATTGACTAATTAACAATTAACTGCTTCATTTCTAACAAAATACACCTGAATATAATTAATAAAATCATATATAAAATAGATTCACCGCATTACACGAATCTAACATTCCAATCACAACCAATCAACCAGCAATCAACTTTAATCATTCAACTGGTTCACCTTCATGGCTGTCCTGATGATGTCAAGGCACCTACTTAAGGACCTGGACCAAGAAGCTCTTTCACACAATGCTTGATATCTCCAGTGAAACGTCGTACAAAAGTGTAAAAATGTAGCTTGGATTTCAACATTCTGGTTTCATTTCTAAACCAAATCATTAGGCACATTTTCCCACGTGATACTGATTTGATTGGCTACAAGATGTAAGTTAAAATATACTAGCCGTACCTCCAATTAGCACAGTTCAACATTTGATCATTGTGAATTGTGGATAAGTATCAATAACAATTGTGGAGCACCTGAAGCTTCCGCACAAACCCCAGGTGATGGATGGAGGAACGTCCACTTGTGAACTGCTCTGAATAGAGAAGAATGAGCCGTGGACCAACGGTTGTGCAGAAACATAAGATTTCTGTCCATAACCAACCAATTCAGGGACCAATGCCTCATTCGATATTATGATGAACACTAGCCAATCCCTTTGGGGTGCTTATGGTATTGAGAAACTCCCTAGTGAAGGCTAGAAACAGTCTTCGCATGGGTTTATGGAACATAATAGTTACGTTCCAGACAACAACACTCAGGTTTGTTTAAAACATGATCATTTATAACGTAGAAATCCTGGGAAGAAGTGAATACATATGGCCTGGAAGCGATTCATTGTCTCTAAATCTGAGCATAAAGCATGTTATTCTTTGGAACAATGACAAAACAGAAGGAATTGCTCGCAATCTCAGAAAACTATCTGGAGTAACAAGGTGTTCCTTCTGTTTTATGGTGTCAGCTGGCCAGCTTATAAAGTTATATTTTGCAAAGTGCGTGCTTCCAGGACACGTGCCATTTTACGCTGTAAAATGTAATTTCCCCAAAGATCTTGCCACACCTCCAGCACGAATCTTACTTCAATCACCCATGATGCCATCACGTCCTGCCTATAAAAGGCACCACCACACGGCACACCTAAGATGTTTTTTTTTGCCGGCAGCCTGCAAGCATCTTCTGAACATGGCTGTTCATTGAACGAGCAGCAGGTTCACAGTGTGTAGTTGTTTGATGATAATCTATGCATTCGCGCTTCCTATGCTTCACTTTGGAGGGTGAACACTTTCAGTTCAAAGTTGTTCCCTTGGGACTCACATCCTAGTGAACACGGTCACCTTTCTCTGCAAAGATGGCATGATCCTCTTTACCTACCTGAATGATAATTTGAGATAAACCAAGCAACTTGTTCAGGGTATACATATACTTAGGAGTGCATCGATCATGGCAGTAGCTTCACAATTCTTCATTATTTGGGCATTGTGATTACTTAAATTGCCACTATCCTTGTAGGCTACCGGCCTAATTTTAGGTATGACATTTCGCTGATAGTTACAAGTAGTATAATTAGGCAATAGCCAGAATGATAACGTCTTACCCATTTAAATGTTGCTCTCCAACACATTGGTGTGCCGAAGCAGTAATAAATTGCCATGTTTGTTCACGTGACAACTTTATTAATTGGCTGTGTCGGGTGGAGGATTTGACCCAAAAATGTAAATTTAAGAATCCTAATATTGTTCGCAAAAGCCGAAGTACTAATATGTCCCAAACACGTGAATTCTCCGACACACTGGTGTGGTCATATTCTTGATCTCATAATGCATAATGCACCTATAGCTGACCTACAAGCTTCTGAACTGGCCATTTCAGACCATTTGACAATCGGACTCGACTTGCTACTTCCTGTGCCAACTCATACTACAAAAACCTTAAGGCTATGTATCCCCTAACAATCCATGAAGTTATTTCACAATTGCCTTTTGTAAAACGTGGTAGAACTTTACAATTCCATCCTATATGCTGTATTGAAATAATTGGCACTCCACAATGTCTCCTCTGTTGCCCCTTCCCGTTGTTCAATGGTGAATTATAGACAATGAAATCTTCAGTCAATTACGTCTGAGTGCCTCTGGATGGCAAATCTTTCAGTACATGTGCAGGCCTTCAAGCATCACCGACGGGTTATTTGAGAGTCACTGCAAACTGCCAAAATTACCTTTTATTTCTCGCTTATTGAGGCTGGTAGAAACAACCTCAGGATTCTCTTTTTACCCAAGAGCTCTATTTTGCCAATTATCTGCCTATTTGTTACAAACATCTTTTGCTTAAGTCCGACCTGTTATCACCTGCCTTCAAAATCGCAGCCATTACCCCCGTGCTTAAAAATAAACAATTCTGGACCAGGACAGTTCTGTTCACTAGAGGACAATCTCCAATCTTACATTTATATCTAAAATTCTTAAGCGGGCGGTAGTGTCGCAACTACAAAATCCCCTCGCTCGAAGTGACGTCATGGAACCTCTACAATCTGGTTTCAGGCTAATGCACATTACAGAAACATCCCTGGTCAAGGTGACTAATGATCTATTCATGGCTGCAGACCCCAGTTCTATCAGTATCCTCATCCTCCTTGACCTTAGTGCAGCATTTGACATGGTTGATCGCTTGATCCTTTTAAATTGCCTGTAAAGCAACTTTGGCATACTGGTGCTCCAATGGTTCAGGTCGTACCGCTATAACCGGCAACCATTTGTTACTCTGGGAAATTGTAATTGACTTTGGTGCTGTCTCATCTGGTGTCCCTCAAGGGTCCGTCCTGGGGCCCCTGCTATCCTGCATCTACATTATTCCACTTGGTCAAATCTTATGTCGATTCGGTATTGACTTATATCTATGCTGATAATGTACAAATGTATTTACACACCAATTCCGACCCTTGTCATTCTCTCATCACCACTTGGTTGGCCGAAGTTAACTCCTGGTTGCAGTGTAATTTCCCGCAACTCAACGGCAACAAAATTGGGGTGAAGCTTCTCGGTTCCCCACGTCGACTGCACAGAGTTGGCCCGTCAAACCCATTTAACCTGCCGCTTGGTAATCATAACATTTTTGTTTCATCCCTGGTTAAAAAAAAACCTCTGTGTCATCTTGAACTCTGTTCTGTCTTTCAAAGTGCACGTCAAGAATGTTATACTTTTTTGCCTAACATTGTTCGGGTAGTATTCTACCTCTCCATCTGTGATGCAGAGAATTTGATCCATGCATTAATCCACTCTCGGGTTAACTATTGTAATGCTCCCCTGTTCGGCCTGGCGGAAAGGGTCCTTAACGGATCACAATGTGTTCAGAATGCAGCAGGTCGAGAAGTTCTCCTTCCGAACAAATATCCTCAGTCCTTTCTAGATTTAAAGCTTTCGTGACTGCTAGGATCCATACTCTTTGGTTCTATTGTGTAAAGTCACGTATTTTATGTTCACCTACGTGACTTTACCCAATAGAACCAAAGAGTATCCTCAGTCCTGACCTCCTTGCACTAGCTTCCGGTAAGGCACCGAATGTATATGTAGATTATAATATTAATCGCTAAAGCGTTAAGAGGGCTTGCACAGACCTACAATCGTGACCTATTAAATCCTCAAGCACCATTTTTTAACGGCACTTTATAAAACGAATGTATTATTATGGCTGTCCCACAGCACATGACACTGTTTACCACCATCACATAAATATTCAGACTGCTATGTGCAGATATCACATCCCTTGGCACAGGAGTTGCCACAACTGAATCACACTTTCAGCAGCAAGCTGTAATTGTTTTGCAGTTGGATAGAATAAACAGTGTAGGTTAACCTTAAGGGATCCTTAAATAATGATACAAGACATTTTTCAAAAGCTATTTTATGCATTTGTTTTTAACTGAAATATTAGTTTTGATGTTAAATACACACATACAACTGAGTGCACAAGTACTTACTTTGATAACACGCTGGTCAAGATTTTTAAAAATGTCAAGGTTTGGAACAGGACTCTTCCACTGTTGAAACTCTGTGGCTTCTTTGCTAGGAACATCTTTAACATATTTGTGTTTCAGACCTGCTTCAGAATAACCCTTTACACTCTGTGCCTTGTCAATTTGGCGACCTTGGTTTACGTTATTGATGTCGCAAGCATGAAGTTCCAGCTCAGTCTGCGCAACCTCTTGACGCGTCAGTTTATTTGTTATGCTCACAGAGGGAATCTCCACGGACCTTTCATCAACTCTCTTATTACTTTTGCCTCCCTGGAAACCTGACTGCCGTCTTGTACTCTTCCCCCTGCTCTGAATGTCAACTTCACTAGACTTTGAGACGTTTTCTTCAGATTGTTGAACTTCAAATGCAGTGTTGACCACGCCATCTTTTCGGTTGCTGGTAGGGAGCTTGGACTCGATCGAGTTTCTCTTGAGACAGGGGCAGCAGCAGCAATACCTGCTCCAGCAGCATCCCATGGCTGTGCTTTCAACAGCAAAACTGGCGTCACACTTCCTGGGCAACTGCTTTTGTATCAGTTCCCATGCAAATATATGGCTTAACCAACACCCCCTTGTCTCCGCTGTCAAAAGGAAGCAATCTGACAAACAAACTCCCACAGACACACACAAGTAGGGTGGGTACAATAAAGAGCCACGTAGGTAGCAGGTAATGTGTACAATGTGCATGGTATCTTTAAGGTGACATTGCGACATTCCTGTAAGTGCACACACATCCGTATTTGGCTGTGATTGTATCAGTGGTGTAATCTAGCCAGAATGGCTCGCGAAGCTTTTCTGGTTTGTTCTTGTGTCGAATAGTGTATTGCTGTACATACCATGACATTACATTTGCAAACGAGAAAATGTTACGTTCTCTAATATTTTACAAGACAGGATATCTATACGTATAAAAGGGAAATTTGTGAATATGTGTGTCTGTTTAAAATGTTTAGCATACTTCCCGACATTCAACAAACTTGAAATTTGCCATGTGGGTACTTTCCAGACTGTACACCATGCAAAAATTATAAAAATAGACTTTTGTATTTTCGGGGGGGGGGGGGGTGGGCGCAATAATGCATATATTTTGCACGGCAAGTGAGCTGTGACGTCACATCTGTCATGTCACCCGCACATGTGGAAGCATAACGGAGTGTGCATGCTCATGTCACGCACCCCCCCAACCCTCCGCGAGTAAAGTGCCTTACAAATGTGTTGCAGGTCTAAGGCGTTCTTCGCGCACCATTGCTTTATTATTTCAGTCGTTTACTACCGTACG